TGCTCAGTCAAGTACTAGAAACAGTGCCTGTCTCTTATACACATCTTCTAAAGGCTTTTTAATAAATATGGCAACATTTTGTGACGTTTCATCGTTGCTGACGCGTAGTGAAGTGTTTTGAGAGTCATGTGAAGGCAACAGAACTTACGTAACGCTGTCTCTTATACACATCTAGATGTGTATAAGAGACAACTTCCTTTATACTACATAGATAGGAAAAATGTTGACGTTTACGCCACCATATTTAGTTTTGCAATATTCCAATTAGTTTTGCAACTATAACAGTTTTACGCCGTGTCGGAGGACTGTCCCGAGTAGCCCCGCCAGTCCCAAGTAGCCCGGTTGACAGTACCTAATTTCCTAATAGCAAAAGACAATAAGAAAATTCTTAATAAGAAATCCTCTTGGGTCTTCAATGAAACCTGCATTAAAGAACAGATCTTTGCAATGCAAATAAATTTGTTTCTAGAAGACTTTTCTTTTATTATGAACCTTAATATTAATTAATTATTCACATACGGTATTTTATTTTGCAGAAGTCTAAGGTGTCTAAATTTAGTACCTATAGGTATTACTCATGGCAGTTAATAGAAATGGAATTGTAACCCTTCATAAAAAGGGCAAGAGTAATTCAGTCATTGAAAAAAATCTCTATTTTCATCATGAAACTGTGTGAAGGTAGTCAAAAAATTCAAGGAAACTGGCAAAATATGCAATCTAACTGGTCAAGGTAGAAAAAGTGTTCAAACAAACCAATTTGTTAAAAAAAACGAGGGAGAAGTTGAGGAGAAACCCTCATGATTCAGCTGCAAAATTGGCTGCAGAAGCAAAAGTCAGTCAGACATCAATGCTTAGTCCTCAAAGATGACCTCAAAACCTCCCCTTCCATGATGAAAACAAGGCATGGACTAACAGACCGTCATGAACAAATGAGACTTGAAAGATGCCAGCACATTCTGAATCTCATTGAGGATGGCATGCTGCCCAATTTGGTATTCAGCGACAAGAACAAATTTGACATTGAACAAAGTATTAACCGTCAAAAGACAGACAGAGTTTGAAGTAAGGATGGACTTGTGGCAACCAGAACAGTTATGCAACATCAAAATCTGTGATAGTTTTGGCCGTGATAACAGCCACTGGAATTTTTCTTCTTGTTTTTGTCCCCTCAGGAGTGATATTGAACAGTCAGTGATATATTTTTGACATTTTGAAGCCGAGTTATCTAGGGGGCTGAGAATACTTCAACAAACCACTATGGAGTTTTAAACAAGTTAAAATTACCATATATAAGAATCCATAGAGTCTGAAACAAAGAAAAAACATTAATAGGTGTATCAAACAAAAAATATGTTATATATATATGGTAATTTTAAATTAATTTCAAAGCCGGTGGTCTGACATTAGGTGGTCTAAGTTGAATTAAAATTACCCATAGAAGGTTCACATACAGATGCCAGTGCTCAAAGCAGTGGCAATCAAATGAACTACCTACTTTATTGTTTAGTATCTTGACTAATAATATAATAATATCGTATTCTGTTTAGGTCCGGTCTCTTAAAGTGTTCCAGTAACATATTTTCCATTACTAATTATTTAAATGTATTAACTTGTGCAGTAAGATATTGAATTGTTTTAATTCTAAACAAAGATGGCATACCGTCAACCGGGGCTACTCGGGACAGATTTGATCATTTTTTTGTTAATAACTGTTAATAACTTCTTATGATGAAACATTTCATAAACAAGTTTAAGCTCATTTTATAGCTCTTTGCCAGGGCTATTGAATGGCATTGTCAAAAAAATTCCATATGCTATTCCTAAGGTGCCAGACGCAAAATAAAGATTGTCCTGAGTAGCCCTGTCCGTCAGGGCTACTCGGGACAATGGGAATAAAACTTCATTTCAAAACATTTGAAGCATGCAGAGCGTACTCATCCATTACTAACAGCACTCTGAAGTCCTCCTCTTTCATTGTAGACCATGTAGAGGTAGAATAAATGACATTTTCTGTGATTTTTACTTGTTTTTCCTTTATTGATATGATATTACCATAAACATTAATTACCATCAACTGGGGTGACTTGGGCCTCGTTTTTGATTCATGCTGGGGTCGTAAACGCGGGGGTCATAAACGCCGGGGTCATAAACGCCAGGGTTGTAAACCAGGTCATGAACGCCAGAGTGACTTTGGCCATTGTTTATGACCCTTTATGACAGCTTTGGCCATCATTATGAACAGGGCTGAATCCCCCAGTTGACGGTACCCTATTATTGATGGGATATTACTGTATTATTGATGGGATATTACTGTATCCATGAACATGCCATTAAGCATTTACAACAACCTTGTTCACTGCAAGCTTCATATCAGCAGCCTTATAGCATTTTTTTGTATCTGTAAGCATACAGGATGGCTTGTAATTTGTGTGACGATATGTGAACTTTTTTTCGCTCAGTGAGGTAAATGTAATCAATATTCTTTGTTTTTAATCAATTTGTTCTTAACTGGAGCCTTTGCTAAC